AAAAAAAAAAAAAAAAAAAAAAATTACATTTATATATATACAACTTGTTAAACTTTTGAAAACAAGAACACGTTAAAGTAAAGTTTCAAGTTTTTGAAAAACAATTATTATTATTATTATTATTATTAATGAGAAACGTTTGTAAAGTTTATAAAACAAGTCGAGCCATTTGCAATTTTAATGTTAAAAAAGTTATTAAGTTTTAATAATAATAATAATTAATTCCAAGGAATATTATCATCATTGAGTAATGTCGCCCCTAATGCGATTTTTCATTTTCATTTTATTACTTATTACAATAATAATAATAATAATAATAATAATAATAATAATAATAATAATAATAATACGGGGGGAAAAAAAAAATAATAATAATAATAATAAAATTTTCACCTTTCTAAGCTAGTCGGTGGTCACGTAGTTTGTTTTACTAGAAAAAATAAAAAATAAAATAAAATAAATAATTTACGTGCCAACGGGGGGAGGGGGGGAGGAGGAAGAGAAAGATGACCGAAATGTTGGAAGTTAAAATGTCGGAAATTAAAATTTCGAAAGTTTTAGAATTCGCGATTACACAATCAATCTTTTAAAGAGGATTTTTTCGAAAATTTAAAAAAAAAAAAATTCCATAGAATCGAATGAAAATTCAAAACGGAAGTTGAAAGTGTTTCTCTCCCGCAAGCAAACTCATTAAATTCCGTCATTCTGTAATAAAAACGTAAATAAAAATAATAATAATAATAATAATAATAATAATAATAATAATGTTGATGGAAAAAAACATTTCTTATCAAAAATCATTTATTTCATTACAGATTTTTTATTATTAAGCTTTTTTTTTTTTTCTAATAAATATTTATTAGATTCGGATTTATCTGCTGTTTTCAATATTGAATTTTAAAAAAGAAAACAGAAGAGAGAGAGAGAGAAAATGTGAAGGATAAGACTGACCGAGAGGGGGAGGGAGGGGAGGGGGATTCACACACACACACAAATAAACCTTATATGAAAATTTCTATTTTAAATTTTAAATCGTTTTAAACTTATGACTTTTGAATAAATATGAAATAAAATGACAAATCATTCGAATGGATTTCGAATCAAATAGAATTTAAAATTGTAGCTCTTTGGATATAAAAAAAAAAAAAATGGAGGGAGGGAGGGAGGGAGAGAGGGAAAAAAATCGATATCTGTTTTTTTTTTTTATTTATTCACAATTTCTATTCACCGCAAAAATGATGCATTTAGCAAAAAAAAAAAAAAATAATAATAATAATAATTTTTGAGTAAGGGTTGTTCTTTTGTCGTACAAACGCAACAACCGATAAAATCGTTGATTTAAATACCCCCCCCCCACCCCAAATGCCTTTTAGGAAAATATTTAAATTTTCTATGAAATACCGCGAATGAGGAAAAAACAAAAAAAACGATTTTCCCACCGATTGTAAAATGGTCTTAATCCAGTTTTTTTATTATTATTATTTTTTTTTTTTTGTCAAACGAAAGTAAAAAGAAAGAATGAAATGTGGAGGACGCCATTGTTTAAGGCGTGTACCTAAAAAAAAAAAAAAAACCGATGCCAATATTTATCGAATGATGCATTAAGAAAAAAAAAAAAAAATGGGAGTTTTCACGTTTAAATATCCTTGAGATTTGCCTCTGTTTTCGTACACAATAAAAGGTGGGAGAAAAATTAGTTTTTGACGAGCGTGCGATCTACCTTGGACCCTTTCATTTCAAGGTAGAACACACACGCGCACACGCACACGCACACACGCAC